ATCCACTAAATTATATTTATTTTTATTTTTAAAAAAATTAAGTGGTGTGAAGTGTCTCTTTTTTATTAGCATTTAATAAAGACTATAAATAAAAATAAAATATTTTGTATAATATTAATTTGTTATTTTACTTTTTTATTGTAGATATAAAATTGTTACTATTAATAAATATTATTGTATTTTATTAAAATTTAAATTCAAGTATAATGATATATTTGATTTGTTTGAATATAAAAAAAAACATACAAGATAATGTTCTATTTTAATTTTTAGTGTTTAGGGTTTGAAAAGAATAGGTTAAAATCCTAATTTGGTCCCTTATAATATTTTTTTGCTTAAATTTAGTCTCACTTTAATTTTTTATTTCAATTTGGTCCCTAATAATTTAAATTAGTGCAATGTCGGACTTTCATCCAAATTATTTAAACGGAGTTAACTGTTGGCCACGTGGATGCTAGGTGGATGTCATGTAGATGCATAGGTGGATGCCAAAGCATTTGGAATCAGAACGGCCTGTTCTGAAACCAGAACGGCCCATTCTGGTTGCACATGTTGTGTGTTAATTTTGCATCTAGACCAGTCACCACGAATGCAGCCAAATGGCTCGTTCTGGTTTTAGAACGGGCCGTTCTGGATTCAGAACGGGCTGTTTCAGAAAGTCAACCACATTTTTAGGTTCAAAAAAATGTCGCAATGTGGTTCAAAAATTGAAAATAAAAATTTATAATATAACATAAATTCAAAGATAGAAATATGGTTCAGAGACTGAAAACAAAAATTTATAACATAACATATACTAAGAAAGTTCAAAGAAATTATTGAGAAGGAAAATCATCTGGATAATGCTAAAGGTGCCAATAATACATCTTATCCACCATATAACACTGAATGGCTGACAGGATATAAACATTATCTATCTGTACATGTGGTTGTGTGGTGAAATGTTGGTCTTGTGTGTCCTCTTCCTCTACTTCAGGTTGTACCTCCTTAAGAACAGGTTGTTGTTGTTGGGGTACATCGGTCAATGACTTCAAGGAAAAACATCATGTCGTTTCATGCTTGACTATATAGTGTTGATTTGGTAGTAAGTGATACACTCTAGTTTGACTAACAATGAAATAAAATTTGTCACCATTGTCCTTAGTGATACACTGCATTGTCCTTAATGATACATTGTATAGCCCAAATATTTAGCAATTGAAGTTATCAATCTCCATTGACAATATTACCAAATCTAGTGTTTGAAATGTTTTGTACGTTAGGTCTTTTTCCTTGCACGATTCACAACCGTGATTTAGAATCACGGGCATGAATTATAATCATCGACCGTTTGTGTTTGACATTCTGGAACCAGAACGGCCTATTCTGGTTCTAGAACGTGTCGTTCTAGTTCCAGATGTATTAAAAAAATTTGACATCCATCTATGCATCCACCTGACATCCAGTTAATTTTATTTAAATAATTTGGACGGAAGTTCGACATTGCACTAATTTAAATTATTAGAGACTAAATTGAAATCAAAAATTAAAATGAGACTAAATTAAAATATAAAAAAATATTATAAGAGATCAAATTAAGTTTTTAACCAAAAGAATATTAGTAGTGTGGTATTTGAGGGGAGTATGGTAAATTTGTCCGGACAATAGCGTACTTTCTTGAAGCCATAGATATTTCTTGTGGGACAGAGTCGATGTCATCAACTTTTTTTATAAATATCCTCTCATCGTGAATGGTAATGAATGATCAAACCAAAATCCTTTAGCTGCACTCAGTCTGCCTTAAACACTTTTGTGTTGTATGGTTACACTCTGGTTGTGATACATCTAAAAAGCCACTAGTTCATATTATCAGCTTAGTCTCCACATGTAAATGGCCTAAATAAGCAGCTTCGTGTTCATGCAGAAGAGGATATATATATACACATCACTTTAGCTAAAAGGGAAAGGGAAATTCAAAAAAGGATAAACTTAAATTTATGTATCCTTGTTATCAAGTTTTGTAATTAAAAAACACGGTTAGTCCATTAAATGTGTTGAAAAATTTAAACGAACATCTGCATGGCAGTTTTTTTTTCCTTCCAAGAAACCTGCAAGGAAAATGCTGAAATACCTATATTAAAAAATAAAATTTCAACAATAAAATCTTCAATACACTTCTAAGTTCCAACACATTTTACTATTAATTAAAATTTATGAAGTTACAAAATCAAGACTCTCACTAAATAAGAAGTGAAGCTCCCACTGGTTTATAATTTTCAATGATTTTTGGTCAATACAAAGGAGTGTGTTAGTAGAGTTTGACATACATTATTCCTTTGTATTAGTTGATATCAGAATATTGGATTTCAAATTGTATATTCCAATCAGTATGAATATACATATATAATTGAAGTTAAGCTAAAATAGGAAACAAGACTAAAATTAAGGTATTCCTATAATAATATAATCAAATCATTCCTAACTTAATTAGAAGGCTATAATCAAGATATTTCTATAATGACATAATCAAACCATTCCTAACATAATCAGAATATTCCTCCTAATATTCTGCTAACACCCTCACTCAAACTCTAGTTGGAATGATGGATGCCAACTTGAGTTTGCTCAAGAGATCTTTGAAGCAAGTAGGTTGATGTGTTTTGGTGAAGACATCAGCAGCCTGGTCAACCGATGGAACAGAGATCACATTGATAACATGATGTCGCACAAGGTGACAATCAATTTCAATATATTTTGTGCGCTCATGAAAGATGTCATGGTGAGAAATCTAGATAGCACTTTTATTGTCACAATGAAGCTTAATGGAGGAAGGATGTGCAACATGTTAATAACCATCGTAACCAAAATAATTGAGAAGTAGCATCAGCAAGAGCACGGTATTCAGATTCTATGCATAAGCGAGAAACAACTGTTTGCTTCTTGCTACGCCAAGAAATAAGTGAATTTCCCAAAAAAAAACCTTAACCCGATACAGAACAACGATCGTCGTTCTGCCTGCCCAATCAGCATCAGAATATCCAAACAGGAGCATAGATGAATTAGCAGAGAAGTGTAAGCCATGGAAAATGGTTCCTTTAATATAACGGAGAATTCGAAGAACTGAAAAAAAATGTGATGATTGAGGAGTAGACATAAATTGATTGACTACATGAACAACATATGCAATGTCAGGGCGAGTTACAGTGAGATAAACAAGACTACCAACAAGTTACTAATACAAAGTGGCATCTTCAAGAGGAATGCCATCAAGAGGTGTAAGTTTGTAGTTGAGTTCCAATGGGGTTGATTCAGTCTTGCAATCTGTGATACCTGCTCAAGAAAGTAAGTCAGGTGCATACTTGGCTTGGGAGAGGTAATAGCCTATTAAGTCCTGGGAGACTTCTAGGCCCAAAAAATAGTGAAGCGTGCCAAGGTCTTTCATTTCAAATTATTGACCAAGATAACTTTGTAATGTCGAAATTTTAGACTGATCATCTCCAGTTATTATCATATCATTAACATAAAACAGCAGAATTACAGTACCTCCTTTAGTTCGTCGAAACAAGGCATTATCATGTGGGCTAGAAAGAAAACCAGTTTTTGTAAGAGTAGAACTAAACTTGTCAAACCAGGCCTTAGGTGCTTCTTTCAAACCATATAAGGCCCGTCGAAGCTTACAAACTTTATGAGGAGAATGATAGCCAGGAGGAGGATGCATATAGACTTCCTCTGTTAGATCACCATGAAGGAAGACATTTTTTACATGCATCTGAAGAAGCTTCCATTTATGAACTGCAGCAATGGCCAAGAGACTACGAAAAAATGTTATACGGGCCACCGGAGCAAATGTTTCTTCATAGTCTATCCCATACTCTTGAGTATACCCTTTGGCTACCAGTCGAGCTTTGTAACGATTGACAGTTCCATCAAAAAGAGTTAGTTTTATAGACCCATTTACAACCAATAGGGATCTTATCAGGAGGGAGATCAACTAGATCCCAAGTATGAGTCTTCTCTAAAGCCTGGATTTCTTCAGACATAGCTTGTTGCCAAATGGGGTTATATGTGCTTCACAAAAAGAGGAGGTCTCATGAAGAGTTGCAATAGCATAATAACAATGGTAATTACTAAGATATTGAGGAGGTTCTCTTACCTGAGTTGAATGACGAGTAGCAGTTGTTGGTACAGTATCATCAACCGAAAAAGATTCAGTAAGAGAAGGTGAGGAAGTGCTAGTATTGAGCTCATTAGATGTATCTGTATCAAAACTTGGAAATAACTCAATGGAGGGATCGGTAAAAAAATGGAGTCAGAGACAATAGTATGATAAAATTTTGAAAGAGAAGAAACATAGTATTTTCCCAAAGGGTAACATGGTGTGAGATGCGTAATCTGTTAAAAATGGGATCCCAACAACAATATCCTTTATGTTCAATGTCATAGCCAAGAAAACAACATAAACAAGTACGTGGTTCTAATTTTTGTGTGCTCATGAGGTTGTAAAAGAACAAAACAAGCACATCCAAAAGGTTTAAGAACTTGAATTAGACGAAGGTGATCTTCACTGATTTTGGCTTGAGATAGTTGATGCCAAATTGGTTGTACTTGGGCAAGGAAATCATTCATAGATTGGTCAGATTCTTGCTTGATGTTTTGAAGTGTAGTCCACAACTGGTAATAGTGTGCAAGGCCCAAATTTCTTTTGCAAAATCGTAAGTAGCAAATTGAATATGAATAGATGGAGAAAAGGTGTTGCAGAACCATGTGATTACCTTATGGTTTTTGCAATCCTCAAGACGATCAGCAAATTTTGCATCATTTTCACTTGCTTCCTTGGTTGGCTGTTTGATATCGTCAGTGACGATACGCTAAAGCTTGCGGCCAATCAAGACACTTTTCATTGCTTGAGCCCAAAGAGTGTAATTTGATCCCGTCAAGACAATTGTGATGGGTTTTGAAAATTCAGATTTTTTCATGATAAATGTGGCAGAGAGATAAGCAAGAACAAATTATTACGGGATAGAAAATGACGAGACAGAATTCATCAAGTTGCAGGAAAAAAATAGAGGAGGCTAGGATTCATAACTCAAGCTCTTGATACCATATTAGTCGATATCAAAATATTAGATTTCAAAGTATATATTCCAATCAGTATCAATTATATATATACATGTATAATTGAAACTAAACTAAAATAATAAATAAGACTAAAATCAAGTTATTTTTATAATGACAATCAAATCATTCTTAACTAAATTAAAAAGTTCCTCCTAATATTCTGCTACCACTTTGTTTATACTAAAGGATGGATTTAGCTTGTCGTTTTCCACATTCTGCCGCTGAACCCCAACTGAATTGAGAAATGGGAAATTCAACCTTTATGTCTATCTTATCATTTTAATCGCCAACTTCTTATTATGTATTCTGCTAGTTCACCCATTTGTGTTTGCTAGTTTCTGACATACGTATGTCATGTTTTTTTGTTATGGCCACTTGTTCATCCATATAATAAAGCGTATGTTAATTTAGTGTACAACCTAGCAAAAGTAATAAAAATTGTATAATGAAATTTTTGTGCAATGTGAAATAAGATGTATTGGCCAAAATATCAAGGTGATTTAATCATCCATGACGGAGACAGAAATAATCTACAATTCACACGTATATGTACAAACAAAAATGTACCTCCGAGAAAAAAAAAAAGGTAGTCAAAGCGATATGGTCTTTGTGCGTTGCACAACCACGTAAAATATATTTTTTTTTATCATTTTTTAATCAATTTAAATGTTTTATTTGTTTACTTTTTTAAGTTCATGTTTATCAATTTTTAATTATAGTTAGAAGGAGTTTATTGATACATTATGTATTAATTAGTTTTTAGTGAATTAACACATTGCAATTATAATTTTAACTTACAATAATTATAATAATTATATAAATTTACAAAACCAAAAGAAAAAGGAAAAAGAAAAAATTGTGAACGGGCTTTAAAAAAACAAAAACTCTAATGTTTTGGTATTTGGATATTTTTTAATATTATAAAATAAAAAATAATAGAACTCGTCATACAACTTACAACCTTAGCAATATTTGTATTGACACAATAAAAAATGACTTCACATCAATGAGAACAAAATTGAGATATAATTTTATATGTAATTTTCAATCATAATTAAAATTTCACATAAAAAGTACTTAGCAAATTTCTTTGCTTGAAAAAGGGGGAAAATGGTGTGGTTAGAGGAGCCACTCCATAACACACCCAAATTTGGCCTTGGCTTTTGTTTTTGGCTCTGTTACACACCAGGCATTCCCTCTGCTACATCAAATCTCACTTGTCCTTTTGCCTTGTCTTCTTATTCTCATTTTTGCTTTTTAAATATTTCTAAAGCCTTTACTTTCTGCTTTATTCTTCTCTGTCTCCCTCTTTTGTACATTTCTCTTCCCAACACTCCACTCTTTCTTCTTCCCTCTCCAACCCATTTTTTTTTCTCCTTTCATTTCTTTCTCAATTACTCTTCTTTGATTCAAGGTGGTTCCTTTTACACCGATCATCGCACCCCATTTTGTTTATTCTCTCGGTTGCTCTCTTGTTTTCCCCTGCAACTCTAAAAACACGTTCGTTCCACCACTCATTCTAAATTTTCCAGAGGTAACAAAATCAACATGCAAACGCTGTTATGGCTTTAACACGCCACACGAAATCATCATTAAACTTTTTTTTTTTTTTAACTATCGAGATGTCTCGTTTCTTTTGCTTTTCAGATTTCTGGGTTGTGATAGGGATAGGCTATGATGTTGTTTGTAACCGAGATTCACGTGCGTGTCATTTGTTTTGGCGTGTTCTTCTTTCTCATTTGTTTTGGTGTCTGTGTCTTTTGTTGAAGATAGTCTCGGCCTTTTTCTTTTCCTGTTTTTCTTTTAATGCAATTGAATTGCATCGCCATAACTTTGAAATAAAAATCAATTTTTTAATATTATAGTTCTATAAGTAATCCGGGGTAAGCTGATTCTTATGATTTTTCTTTCTTCTTCTTCTTCTGTAGATATTCATCGTTGGAGGGAAACGGTTGTTGGTTTTTTTCATTATTCCCTTTGTATCACTCAAGTCAGATTGTGGGACCTTCAAAATTGGATCTTGACCTGCAAATTTGTTGGCATGGTTTTTCCACGCTGATGTTGATCCTTTGTAAGTGATGTTGTAATCTGAGTTCTTCTATTAATGCAAAAAGTTGATGATGCTTTGCATGGGAGAGTGAATCATTATTATGCATGGAAGTGTTGACAAAGTTCTTGGCTGGCACACTGAAATCGATAACTAGCAAATGTGTGGTTTTGCTTGTTACTGTTTTGATCCTTAGAGCGCTGTTGTTTCCATCTTTCCCTGGCTTTGATGGGATTGAATGGAGCAACCTTGTATATATCCGTACTCCAGTGTTGAATTCTGACTTTGGAATTCGTCAAGATAAGTTTTTGGTTGTTCCTCAGCTTGTATGGGGATTAAACAACCAGAAGATTGCATTTGCAAGAGCTTGTCTTACTGCTAGAATGCTGAATAGAACATTGTTGATGCCAAGCCTTAGTGCCTCACTCTTTTACAAAGAAATTGACCTCCTGCAACCCATTTCCTTTGACAAGGTGTTCCAATTTGAGAAGTTTAATGCCCTTTGCCGCGGCTTTGTCTGGTTGGGGCGCTATTCGGATGTCTCGAATAGAACACAAGTGTTGGAAATGGAGAAAGGAAGTGGAAGGAGGTGGACAGTGGAGAGAGATTTGTCACAATTGAAGGAGTATGGTAAGGGCTCTTTCGATGACCACGAGGTGATTCGGATTGTAGGGAAGAACCCTTTCTTGTGGCATGATCATTGGCCTGTGAAGGACTATGCAAAGGTTTTGGAGTGCTTGGATTTGAATGATGAGATTGCTAAGGAAGCAGACAGGGTTGTGTCCAGGATTAGAGATGTTGGAAGAGAGGTAATAGGCCACACCAAAGCAGTGGAACCGGAAAACAAGTCTCTACCATATGTAGCCGTGCACATGAGGATAGAAATTGATTGGATGATTCACTGTAAAAAGTTAGAGCGGAGATTGAACACGGATCAAATCTGCAGCGGGAAGGAAGAGATAATTGAAAGAGTTAGGAACATTGCTGGTTTGAAGACTCCAGTTGTTGTTTATCTTGCTGTTGCGGATAAGCTCCTAAACAATTCTTCCATATTACAAGGTTGGGAAGGAGGCTTTCTTCCTTTTGAGAAGAAGAAACTTGGTGTTGATGGAATTTACAACAAGCATCCCTATTTAATTCAGTCTGCAATTGACTATGAAGTGTGCTTAAGAGCTGATACCTTTGTGGGGAACAGTTTCTCTACATTTTCAAGTCTTATAGTTCTTGAAAGAACACAGAAGATGATCAGAATGAGTGTCACCAATATGTGTGGAGAAAATGTAAGATGGCCTTCTTATGCTTACAATATACCAGGAGAATCAAATGGCCCAATGAGATGGGTTACAAATATGTCAGAATCAAGTCTTCAAGCAATCAGCTATGGCACCAATCACATCTCTTGTTGACAGTGCCTTATTTAGAGTAGAATGGAGAGCCCCTTTTTCATGTCCCAACAGTTTCACATTTGAGTTTGATTGGCACACTTAAAAAGAAGAATTTTGATGTAGATAACACAGCAATGGATTATAGCTGTTTACATTGAGGTACAGTTTTTTCTCGTTATGTAATTTAACCCATGATTTTGAAACAATTTCCTCAGGTATGACACTGTTTGCCTGGCTAAAAAAACAAAGTCCCTCCAAAAGGGCAAGTTTTGATTTCTGTTTACATTGTCTTTATAACAATGGAGAAGAGAATTTTTGACTAAATAATTTTTATAGTATATCTATAGTTTAAAATTATATATTTAATTCATGCAGTTCAACTATTAATCCATTGGTGTAACCGTGACTCACAGTCGATTATACGATTACTTGTCTCGAGTTTTTAAACAGTTTTTATAATTTGATTTTGGGTGGTGGTTGGTTGATTGGGGTCACGTGTGAGAGAATTGCAAAAGGTGGAGAGAAGTCTATAACTGTATGTGCTGGTTCATTTCTATTTTTGTTGTACATTTGAGAGAACTCAAAGTGGAACATTTTTAGTTATAAAAAAGAAACGGTGGACCCTTTTTGATTTTGTTTTTACATATGAAGCTCTTGTCAGTCACCCTAATAAAACTGCAATGAGTCCTTTGCATTTCCCTGCATACCCTTGTACAACATCCATGCTTTACTTTCAAATTTCAGGTTAGTTTGGTACATTCAAAAAGCTTTAGGAAGTGCCATCTACTTCCTAATCTAGCCAAAAGCAAATAACAAAGTAGCCCATCACATACTAGGAGGGGGACTTTGAAAGGGCACCTTCACCTAGGGTGGGGAATCAAACTAGTGTTATAGGGTTAGTGGAATTATTTTGAATTTTAGGTCCAAAAGGAATCACTTGAGATACCCAGCTTTTAGGTTCTAAATGTTTCTTCTAAGTGACCATTAAATTTAAATATAAGGGAAGAGTAACTAGTATTAAATAATGGTGGCATTTATTTTATAACCTGTTTTTGCAATATGTACCGCAACTTTCTATTGTTCCTTCATTCTCTTTGTTTATTTCTTCCTTCACTGGATGAGGCGTGGTGGCAAAAGTTAGGATCAACACTTGCCTTTAATGGGAGTGGGTCATCTTGGCCATGACACAGGTGTACAACCATTTTTTCCATGACTCTCTTGCCACATGCAATGCATGGAGTTAACTCATAATGTGCTGAACAGTGAATTTAAGTGATATTTTGCCAGATTATCACCTCTGTGAGCTCATAATGCCCTTAAATTTTTATAATTTAATAATTATATATATATATAATATTTTTCTCATATAGTTGTAAGGATTAAAATGCTACTTATATATAAGTGAAATATCCTTCTTCTCAAGTCAAAGAATATTTTCCTGTTAACATTTGTTGATATCTAATTCTTATCAGCAAAATTTTCGAAACAAAATGCTGAGAAAACTAGTATTCAAATGATTCATTGCGGGAAATCATATAATCTTTTGGTAAAGCATAATGTGACTGACTATAAACTTATATACTCAAAAAAATATTGTCCTCAATAATTATTTGAAAGTAGCTTCTATATTATTATTGTGTTAGCCCTTTCATTAGAGGAAAAGTTGGTAGCAATCAGTTTCAAAATTCACCACCAATGCACATATATAGACTATGGACTACATGTAAAACCCATCTAAAACAAATAGCCTCAGCCTCCTTTGGACCAAAAACAGATTGCATGTGAAGTTAAATATTTTTTTGAGGACAACTATTTTTTAATTGTGAATTTATATGTACAAAATCAGTAAATAAGGTGCATTAAGTCAACCAATCCTGTCTCTTTCTATATTCAGGGAAAAAAAAAAAGTCTCTTCCTCTGCCCAGTAGATTAGGTATACTCAAGGACAAAAAATAAATAAGCAACGCAGATTTATATTAGGTAATTTAGGGTCTTCAAACTTTATATTTAGCTTATTGAAAAATGGTAATTTAAGAGTAACTAGTATTTATTATGATCCTTATCAGTTTTTTTTTCGACATTCAACCGCAAAAACAAATAAAATAAAATAAAATCCTAGACAAGTTTGTTTGGTTTTTGGCTAATTAGATAGGAAATGCTCACATGGAAGGGATATCTTGTTTATAATTTTATTTAGTTTTCAGTTAATTAAATAGGAAACTCACATTCAAAGAGGGGATTATGTTTATAACTTATTTTAGGTTTGATCACATTTTTTTGTCTCTTTAATTTGAACTGTATGTGATTTTAATCCTTCAATTGTTCAAATTAATTAAATCTCTTTTATTTTAAAATTGAAAAAATATTTTTCTATTAATTGTTCTGTTACTCTTTATTTAAAATATTTTAAAAATAAACTAAGTAAGTTATTTTAAATCTTTTTCTATAATCTTACAAACTAAAATATCGAATTTTACCTAAAAAAGTTTAACGTATCTGAACTTATCATAGTCTTGTATATCATATATTTTCGTACTCCAATTAGGACTATCTATTCTAATTTAGAAGGAAAAAGAAAAAACAAAAGGATTACTACAAACTACAGTTAACACTAATTATAAAATTATTTACGTGCTGCGTAATAAAATGTTTTTTCTTATGTTAACAGTGGTCACTTGAAAATTTTGAAAGGAACTTAAACACTAAAGAATCTGGGGGGGAAAATCGTAGAAAGTTTTGCATATATTTTGGCATTAAAAAAAGATTTTCACACATCAGAATATGCAAGTTGAGATGACTTATTCTTTATTTTTTTATGACGAAGACATGAGGTATTCTACATGCAGTGTGGAAAGAATTAGATTCTCTGTGAATGTTATTCATATATTTTTTTAACATTATATTTTCAGTGATTTAATATAAAATTAAATTTAATGCAAGATTTTCCAAGTTATTTGATACTTTTTATAAAGGGGATTGATATATAATTTGATTAAATTCAAAATATTAAAATATATATATATA